AATACAACATGCTTTTAGTGCACTATACCACTGTACTCTACCTGCTCAGCACCAAACAGCAGGCAGAAACAGTTAGAGTAGTATCTGGCTCTTTAGCAACTGCCATTATCACCATATGAAGTTATTCTGGTCAACGTGTTAGGAAGCAGTGTTGTGTTTGAAGCTTGTTTTTCTGCTCCCAAGTGACCAAAAAACAAAACAAAAACCAATTAAGGCTTCTTAAAATTTACATAAATTAATGTCAGAACGAGCAGATGCTTTGTTATGTAAAACAGAAAGTACTGAAATCAATCAGCACAACTGGCAAGTAAAACAGCACTTTTATTGATTTCAGTTTAACGCAACAAATGTCCATTCAGATGCTGAGTAAGCTTCATGACACTGAGGTGTGATGAAGGTTAAGCTGTCTGTAACTTTCAAAGAACATACAAGAACAATGCAAAACATGAATTTGATTTTTGGAATAATTAGCCCAGCAGAGAAAGAAATGGTCCAAAATCTCTGTAAAAAATGCAAAACGAACATACAGCACATACAGCACACACAACAGAATTACTGGGTCATGTGTGTCCCAAAACCACAACTGAAAACACACAGAAATCCAGTGGAAAACACAGAGCTGGGAATAGAAGAGAGTGATGCATTAAAATGTAAAGCAGAAAGCAGGTCATTAAAATGAACATTAAAACTCTCTGGAGGTGAAATACCCAACCACTGGGCTAACACAGGTGTGATATTTTCATATTTATAGGCAGTGTGATTTTCTGGGATGCCTGCAGCAGCAGAGAGACAGAGTCAGAGAGGCTGTTAACACTTGATGAATAAATGCAAGTTGACGCAACAACATGCACAGAGGTTTCTGCTTTTCAGAGCACGAAGACAGAAGAAAACAAAGTTACTGTTCTAACTGAATGACAAACAGACTTGAAACTTCAAACCAGAGAGGGCAGCACTTTTCAGACCTAAATGACTCTGGAAGGAAATTGCTAAATTCACAGTTTGTTTTATTGTTTGTTTGTCGCTCGTCTGCGTTGTTGTTACTTGATAACCAATAATTGTCTGTAGCATGGCTATAGAATTTTAATGTAGTTAATTATAAGATTTACAACATAAATATAGCAGCAAACAACAATTTTCTATGTAAATATATAGTGAAGTGACAGCGTCCTGATGTAACACTCCCCCTTCCCCATGATGATTTGTGAGCATTGTTTACGTCTCTGGTCCGGCTGCATGTCAGTGCTTGTGAGTTTGTTGTCTTTGAGAAGAGCGATTGAAACGCTGTTTTTATCATGTCACCTCGGTGAATAAAGGGTTAATTTAGACCAAACCAGACTAGGTGATTATTGTTGGGATAACGGAACTCTACCAAAGACTGTTTTAGTGAGTTTTATTTTGTTTCTGTTGGGTTTGTTTGTTTCACGATCTGCAATGTAAAATGAGTGTTTTTGTTAATGGAGTCTGGTGGGCTGTAGCACTTGCTCATTGTGTGATTGCTGCTTGCAGTCCAGTCATCCACGCCCATTTGCGCCTTAAAAACATTCTGCCATTTTGGAAGACTTTTCTTGCTTCTTTTGGAACATTTTTACAAATCTTAACCAAAATCAGTACACAATGCACTTAAAGTGCCATAACTCTACAATGCTGAACTGTATTGCAAACAAATTTAGGAATGTTGTGCACAAAGCCACATCGTAGTGTGTAGCATTTTATACGATTCTACCAACAATAGCTCCACCTTGTGGCCATTAGTAAAATTCCAACATATCTCTTGAACGCAGTATTTTTGGCTGGTATCTTCAGATGTGAATCATGAAGACTTCTTTCAGAAGCTGGGGCAGCAACCAGGCGAGAGCAGCAGATGCAACAATAACATGCATTTTCTTCAGGAAATGCAAATATTCTGGTTTGTATTGGCCGAGGATGCTGTGCTGTAGTGTGACATCTGTCTCCCTTCTTATGTCTTTTTTCTGTAAACCTTCACCTCATAACGCCTTTATCTTGATGCCATTTCTTTTGTTTTTAAAACTAAACTTATGCAAAAATGGTACTCTTCTATTACTTAATGATTGCAATCAAAATCAAATGTGAGGGATATCCAACGTAGCAAGAATTAAAAAGAGAGGGGGATGTTTATTTATGAGTGAGAGAACTGAATCTGGGGATGTGATGTTAAATACAGATGGGAAGAGAATTTAGTGAAGACAATGATAGAATAATGGAGTGTGTTGATGGAATTACCATCAGTTTCTGCACCACTTCATCCAGAACTAATGGGAATGTGTGTGTAATTCAACGTGAAGCAGCAGAGGCTACATTAACAGCATCATCAGGCTAATGGGAGAGTGAACACGCAATAAAGAAACCTCTGGTCAGACAGTTAACATGTCGCTGCAAACCCATGCTATTACACAGAGACATGATAACACATGCTTACCAATAAGGGGTCATTTGGTGCACAACTACCCACACTGAAATACACACCGTGGACAAGTGTTGGTTATTTAAAGCTCTGAAGTGTAGGAGTTAAAAGTACTTAATTTGGTCATTCTGCCTTTATTCCACCAGTAAAATCACTGGAATACAGAGCATCAAAGCTGTACACAAGGGCCCGGATTTTTGCCAGGTTTATTTTATATTTCAACAAACTAAACATTAATGTCATCAGAATACTTTGAAAGATGCCATAATCACATGAAAATGCTAAATAGAGGGGCTTCAATGTGTAGCTATCATGCTGCAATCCATTGGTTTTTGGAAATACCGTTTTGAATCTTTGAGTTTCACATTATGGCCATTGGCATGTTGTTCTTTTGCAGCCAGCAGCAGCAGTTTTGACTCGTCCATAGCAGGAAACAATGGCGGCTTGCCTGGTCACAAACAATCTCATATTCCAGATAAACAGTAAAATATGTTTGTGAACAGATATGAGAAGAGAAATAGTCAACAGAATCTGGATCCATATCTGATCAGCACTGCCTAGTTTGACAGTTTGATCTGAGTTTGGTGTGTTGAGCTGGACGGACTCACTGAGAATGACCTGTCAATCACAAGGTAGCCCGCCCTAGAGTATACCGGTGGTATGGTCTATTTTACTTTAAATGGGACCATCATTTACTAAATGAACATCATGCTGTATGGAAGAAGTCTGAAACTAGAAAGTGAGACCATAAACTCACTAACCCTAACCCTAACTGTTTACTTAGCTCATAAATCAAGTCAGTAGTTGGGTCATTTCTCCATAAGACTCAGTTCTATCTTTGCAACCTGTGGAGCTGCCCCCTGCTGATCATTAGAAAGAATGCAGGTTTTAATGCAGACCCAGAAACTGTCAATATGCTGTCAGTGGTAGCTACACATTTAATCAAGTGCGCAAACACAGGCCCTAGTGGTCCACTTACTGATATCACATCCCTGTTTGACTTGAGAGGATGGTGTTGGAGGTGCAGCTACCTCCAATTTACATCTCCAAATGGTTGGCCTGGTCTACATAAACTGCAACTTTAAAATGCCACTGCCAAAAAAAAAACTTGGCAAAGAAACAGCAGAATGCTTTTTTACTTACAATCAGGGTCCGAAATTAAAACCCGACAAGCGCCAAATGGATAGATTTTCTGTTTGGCAAGTAAACCTTGGAAGGCTACACTGGCAGGTAAATGTACCAAATCAAAACTATGCTGAAAATTTTACACGTGTCTAGGCAGTGCTGCAAAAGTGCTCCTTTTGTGCTTCTGTTTAGCATAGAGGACAAAAGCTAAACTACTCCACTAATTCAGTAATGTTCGTTATGTATGCATTTATGTTTGGGTGCCACGAAAGCTGTGATGCTGTGGCACCAGGACTCTGTCAGGACCAGGTGGCCAGACTTGGTAAAGACTGATGAGTAGGTTTAAGTTAGTTAAAATGAATACGCATGAAGAGTAGAGTTAAGTAGAATTTTGAGATTGTATTCAGGCTTTAATTAATTAACCCTTGATGAATAAATTTAAAAATTTGCTTAAAACTTTGCTTAGGCCTCTTTAAATTTGGATTGACCACATTACCTCATCTCTATGAAATGTACTGAAACGGATATGTGAAAAGCAATTTATTATTTTGGCCGGTGGATTTTTTAATTTATCACCTTGGCCGGTGAGTCAAGAAGTTAATTTCAGACACTGCCTCCAATCCTTAATTACCTTTAGTTTTTGCAGCTGTGAGCAGCTTTTTTATTTCCTGTATCAACAGAACCCTAAAAAAGCCTCTCTGCATATTGATGGTATATTATAAATATGTTAATGAACACACACACACACACACACACACACACACACACACACACACACACACACACACACACACACACACTACATACAAAACTAAAACAGAGCAAACTAAAAGCCTGCCCAGGATCAGGGTGTCGTATGGATTTGAGACACAGCTCCCACCTGCAGCATCTGGCCTGAGATGACCTTTCAACGTGACCAGACAGCACAGATGTCATTTACACCTTGCTGGGATATGATCACAATGTGAGCCAGACCTCCTCCAGATGTGGTCTGTATGATCCAATCACGTTCTGATTGCAGTGCATTCTGGGTACACCGAGATCTGCATTAACATATGTGACGTGCCACGGAAAAACCAGCAACAAGTCGGCTGGGAAGAATTCACATAAACAAAGAAACTATCGTTTTTTTCACAATCAGTGATTTTCGTTTTTTTTTTACAGAATGTGCAAGTTGAGATCATGAAGAAGCCACTCCATGTTTCAGATAACAGTATTGGTTGCATTAAAAGTATACATTTTGTGTTTGAAATCGGGTATAGTTTCAGGAAAGGCTGGCGCTTCGTTGGGCGTGTCTGGCGATACAGGTAATTTCCATACTGGCTACCTGTGACCATTCACGTGCTTTTGTTATTTTTTTCGGCCAATCAGGGGCACGTTAGTAGCGAACCGCATTGGCTACTTATGCAGCCCCCCGCATAAATTCTGCTACTAAATCGTGGCTGTACTTTAGCGAGACGCCGGATACTTCTGGTTATTCCGACGCCGATTTCACTTCTGATTCTGATGAGTGCACTGACGATGAAAGCGACTGTATTACACTGGAGAACATCCCTACTCTACAGCTGACCTTAGCCGAAGATGAAGACGAGGAAGAATCTCTTGGCCTCGCACCAGAGGAGCTGGAGCGTAAGATATCAGACGCTATATCTACGGTAACATGTGAAGGGGATAAAGACAGCGAAATGGAGAAAATCTGTAACTTTGACTGCAGATGCTACGGAAGAAGAGAGGAGAACTCTCTCATTGGAACACATTCGTGCAGCGACAAACTTTCTCCAGAGCTTATGTACAGCCAGACGAAGAGAAAGCGCCCCCGGACCACTTATTCCATCGGAGGCAATGAAGTCTGCAGGAATACTTTTCAGTTTCTTATGGGGTGAGTTTCCATTAACATCCAAGTTATCTACTTTGCTGTATGTGTTCATTCAAAGTCGCAGTCAAAGTCGCAGGGATTACAAACTGTTATCTCATGTTTTCTGTTTTCATGTTTATACCTTAGTACTGAGCTAGCTAATAACAATGTAGGCTGTTTTAAAATGATATGCACATCGAAACTAAGCTGTAATGGGAGGTTTTGGCTAGTAATGTGAGCATCTGCTGTTAATTTGAATAATGCTTGAATTGCTTGAATTGACTGTGATGCTAATGCTTTAGCAACTAGCCTACTTGAGGAACAGTTTGGATGTATACACCCAGAGTCAGGTGACATGGTGACAGTCTTCCTGTCCTGGCCCCACCTGGACTGAACATTGACAGGCAGATCTATCTTTATGAAAAAATCAGGCCTTTCTGTGCTGACGAGGCAAGAGACATCACATGCCCAGCGCCAAGGGTCACAGCAGAAGAGTCCGCAGAAGAGTCCGCAGAAGAGTCCACAGAAGAGGATGCAGAAGAGTCCACAGAAGAGGATGCAGAAGAGTCCACAGAAGAGGATGCAGAAGAGGATGCGGAAGAGGATGCGGAAGAGGATACAGAAGAGGATGTGGATGTGATATCACTAAATAATTTGACTCTCCTTCACACCCTCTCCACAATGTGCTGATCAGCCACAGGAGCTCATTCAGCAACAGACTGATCCATCTACACTGCACTTCTAGATTTCAATATCAATTTAATTTCACTTATAGAGCACCAAAACAATACACATGTCTCATGACGCTTTACAGAGTGTTGGTTGTAGATGTGTAGATGTGGTTTATACCTTGGATTATGGCACAAGGGATTGTAACATCTTATCCTGTGTGTTAATGAATGATATTCAGGGGCTTTTTGTAATAAAAGCATTTCCATTTCAATAAAGTACCTTCTAATTCTGATCAGTCCACTAAAGTGCTTAAGGAAAATAACACTACATCAACATTAACTACGTGATAACTGCTTTTGATAACCATTGTTGGCTAACAGATACCAGATGTCACTGAGTGCAGGGGGTAGGGCTTATCTTAATGAGATGCAAATGAGCACCATTGTGTTGACTAGGGAGGGGGTAAGAATTGCAAATGTTCTCAGGCTGTTTTCTCCCTAAAGGGTTTTGAGATGTGCATACATTCAAATGGCCACAACTTCTTCAAACATTATCACATCTCCATGTGTTAGACATCATTGGAAAGCTTAGAAACTACACTTTCAGAATCTGTAAATAACTCAAAATGCCTCTCGGGAGACTTGTTGCTGGTTTTCTCGTGGCTGGTCACATATTTTGCCGATACTGATTGGTGGTCATCTTAGACGGAGAACACGCCTGCCTGCAGTCCAGAGGGAACTGGTTGTTCCAAATGTGTAGAAAAAGATGGAATTTTGATTAATTAGACATTTACACTAAAAATCATATTCATACCATCAGCATAGAGAGAGACAGGGGACATGCAGAGAGAGGGGGTGTGAAATGGAACAAAAAGCATCCTTGTCAGAAACGAACCATGGATGCTGTATTTATGTGGCCCCTGACAAAACTTCATTTTTTATTTGTGGCATATAACAATAGATGGTAGTTATGAGAACAACCAGTCCAGGGACAGAAGATTACAAAAAATGCCATATTTTTTTCATTTTGTGGAACCTGCAGAGGTTTAACAATAGCTTCCAAAGTCAGCACTTAGACATTGCCAGCTGTACCTCTTTCTGTGCGTATGTGTTCTTGTACTTCTATCTCTGTGAGGGCCAGTGTGCATTTTATCACTTCTTTCTTTGAGGTTTAAGACTTGGTATAAGGATAAAATGGGGTTTAGTTTAAGATCATGTTATGGGGTTGAGATTAGGAATGTAGGGGTTGTGGTTGGGGAGTGCATTATGTCAATGAGGGTCCTCATAAATAGAGTACAACTGTGTGTGTGCAGCCTGTCTGCTGTGAAGTGTTCTTCAAGCGCTTGCCTCAGGTCTAGCAGTTTATCACATTGCAACATCAAAGAACCAGTGTTTGCTCTGAATATGTGAACATGTCTGTGGCTGGGTAGGTTTGTGTGTGTGTATTCTATGGTAATTGTTGTGTCTCGCAAGATATTATATATCACTGTCCTTAATAAAGGTTAAGGCTTGTTCAGTACAAGGATACAAGGTTGTGTAATTATAATTTTGCAATGCAGGGTTTTGACTCATAAAAACTCAAATATAAAAAAGGTTATACAAAAATGATATACACATAACAAATAAGTGGTTGTATATAAAACCTTTAAAAAGGTTCTATAGTTTGGGACATATTTGGCACCTTCAAAAGTTCCTATATAGAAACATTTCAGAGGGTTCATTTAAAAGAACCCTTAGCGTTCTTTGCTGCTAAACAAAATAGTTTTATATAGAACCTTTTAAAAAGAACCTTTTTATTCCAACTCTTAAAATTCCCGTATTGTCTTAATCGGCCAACAATTATCATTTAACAACTATTAATTTAATATAACCTTATTATATATCTATAATATTTTAAACTTTATGATACAGTAAGCCCTTTGTCACTACCAGCCTTGAAGATAAAGAAGAGAGGTGGTTTCTAATTTTACATTCACTGTACTGATCATCAACAAGCAGATACACCATTCAAAAACATGACTATACACAATATAATAGGCCACATTACAAAATATAAAATATTACAGTGAACAAAACATCCCATACAGATGCAAATAAAATATATTGGCTCCACACATAAAAATAAAAATAAAAATACAATATAAATTTCAGTTAACATTATATTAAAATATCACATTCGGAACGAGTAAATGTTAGTGAATAGTAATGACAGAAGGAGTCACACAGGTGTAGATCTGTCCAACCAGCTCATACAGTTCTACAGTGTGCACCTCAAAACAATATAAGCTGGACCCAGACTCAGACTGGCATTGCTGCATTAAACAGCATCCACCTTCACAACCAACCCAGAGAGTGAGCGACCAGGCTGTTACTTCAGGAGCTGACAGAGCAGCTGTGTGGGGTCACTGAAATATAACCCCTCCTGCACAAGCTCCCAGTACCTTTATTAGCCATTTCCTCACACCCATGCACCAACAGGCCAACGGGCAGCGAATGTGACCGGGCAGGTCCAGCAGGTCAGCCTGTGGAGGTGCAGGCTGGGTGATGTGGCCCTGTGCCTAATACACTGAAAGCTGATGTGATTAACAGCACAGACCTATTTTATTCTACACATTTTCTAAAGCATACACATTTTGTGTTGCCACCTAGACTCTAACACTAACCCCCCCCCCCAGCCCTAACCCTAACCCGGGAAAGGCCACTTATGTTGGAAGTTCAGTTTTCTAGATTAAAATTTATAAAAAAAACACAAAAAACAAAAGTGTTATTAGGATTCAACAGGGATTTAGCCCCAGATCAGTTAATTGTGTCTATGTGATTTATTGTGCAAAATGTGGAATTCAATATGTTGGTGAGACGAGGAATACTCTGTCCGCGCATATGTCACCACACAGATACAATGTGACAAACAAAAAAGAATTGGGCATGCTTTTGGATAAACATTTTTTATTACATGGCTTTGTTTCAATGAAGATGGCGGGATTAGAAATAAATGTTGATTGGATGGAAGGGGAATGAAAAAAGAGGGAATGGTTTTGGATTTTTACACTGGGGACCATGGAACCATTTGGATTGAACAAGAAAAATAATTAATTTCCTACCCCTAATCCCATTCCCTTACATGACCCCAATCCTGAACCCTAAACTGAACCCTAAACCCAACCTGTTGAACAAACACAACGAAAAAATTACAGGCCGTGCATCACTCTGAAATTGTTGAACAAACAACAAAAACACATTCAGCAAAGGGCTTTTATACCAGCTGCAAATGATTGACAATTCTGAACAGCCAAGTAGGATGCTGATTGCAGATCGGGATCAGGTGCTGTGGAGACGGGTACCCTTCTTTTGATTGGATGACATAGATTTGGGGCGGGTATTTTTTTCTATATTAGGTGAGATGTGTGCACTTACTACTGACTATTCTCCTCTGAAGAAGCCAAAAATTTGGTGAAACGTTGCTTCAAAACTTACTGTGTGCCTTCATTTTCCCTTTGCTTTGTAGTGGGTTTTTGCATGCAACTCAAGAGTGGAGTTTGAAGTATTTTGTCTCCTTTTTGGAGTAATCTGTGCTCTTCTTGTAGGAACTAAACAGCTATCTTTGGTCCCGACCTGAAAATTGTTTATCGAGTATAAGGTGTTTTACTTGGGGAACTTTATATACATCTTTCTTGACAATTTTTTTTAAAGTCAATTTGGAAAAAGGTTTTTTTTAAAACCACTTCCCCAATTAGAAAATACGGGTGGGATTAATCAGAAAATATAAAAATGTATCAGTATCTCCAACAATTTGCTCTTTTGACTTTGTGCACACAACTTGTGAAACTTTGCTTTTTATCTATCTTTAACTTGTCTCATCTATATTTTGATTTTGTAACTTATAAAATATGACTCCTAAAAAGAGAAGGACATATAAAGGAAACAGGATGGCTCTCTATGAAAACCGAGCACCTGCTCCTGATCAAAACATGAACACCAATAAATTGGAAAAAATCGATTTAGCTATTACAGGCCGTGCATCACTCGGAAATTGTTGAACAAACACAACGAACTGTTGACTTCCCCATCGGTATGTCACGACATATCACAAAATTGACAGTGTTCATCAAACCCTCTTCTCCGAGTGAGGAGACATGTGGAAAAAGTGAAGCAAAACACTCAGTGGATGCAAATGAACATGAAAATATTGGAAGAGTATTATGATTGTGTGATTGCCAAAATCCTTCAAACTCTGCCTCCTTACGAGCCACAAGCATTGCAAAAAGCCATCGCTTATGGGAGAATAAGATATAGACAAAAATTGACTCAATCATCCATCAAAACACTGACCTCACTGACACAAAACTCCTCACACAGAGACACAAAGGCCACCCATTTTGGAGTCTGAGAGTGGTTTAAAGGATTGGCCAAACTTGGGAAACCCAACATATCCACCTGGGGATGTGCGGTCCTGTCTCACCTCTAGTGGCTTACAATTGGGACTCTCACAGCGTTTTCCATGCACTAGATTGAGTCGAGGCCCTGCCCAGACTATGGTCCCTGACCTTAACCACTCCTCCTCCGCTACGCCTAACCCTAACCACCCCCACTTTCTGGTGCCTGAACCCATCCTGTCCCTCTCAGGTGACTGTCCCCCACCATCCTCCCCTATCCCTAACCGTCTCCCTGATCTTGCCTCTGCTCCTGACTATCACCATAATTCCGCCGCCCCCCCGGATCTGGCCACCTCCCCGCAGGCTGGGGCTGGGGTTGTGGTGGGGGTGCCTCAGCCTGCCTGAGGTTCATGTGGGGTGTGCTGGGGACTTGGGGGGGAGGAGGTGGGGAGGGATTTGAGTTCATCATCGTCCCCTAGGGGTGACCCTCTTCCCCGGTACGGGGACCAGGACCAATTGGAGCCCATATTTAGGGTCGAGGATATGGAGGATCCCTTTTCATGTCCGACATTTGATTTGGGTACACTGGATGATACTGATCGATTTCTGGAGATGGAGATGGTTACTGCTAATATGAATATGCTGTCTAATGTGGCGGTACTTGCATCTTGTGGGATTGAGGAGGGGCTCTCAGGAAGAACTATAGGCGGGGGGGAGGATCCTCCTGGAAGGGAGACTACTCTCACTAGCCGTGCCGAACCAGAGTCTCCTCCCACCCCAGAACCTGCTCCACAGGGACCGCTTAGAAGACCAACGGATTTGGTCATTCGAGGTCACTGATCCGGTGGTCGTCCTGGGGCATTCTAATTTATCCAGGATCCCTGACCACAGATACCCATCAGTCCAGGTCGAGAGCTTCC